ATAGGAATTAACCCAAAACAAAAAAAAAAAAAACTAAAAAAAAAAAAAAAAAAAAAAAAAAAAAATACCGTACGGACTCGCCGATTCACTGTTCGGACTCGCCGATTCCGTACAGTGAATCGGCGAGTCACTGTGAGGAATCGTCCGGTTCTCTCTAGAACCGGACGATTTTCGATTTTTCAACCGATCTGGTCCCTTTTCGCGAATTTCGAGTCGAACCGGACGCGTCCGGTTCGACTCGGCGTTTTTTAAAACGCTGCTCTGGGGTATTCATTATAGAGAATTAATTAATGGAAAAAAATTTATATATATGGTTGCAACTTTAAAATGTAGAATCACAAATATATCTCAAAAATCTATCGAAAAGGCTATTTTAATGTTGAAAAACCCTCTAATTGATCATCTCGACATCGAAAAGGCTGTTTTAATGTTGCAAAAACCCTCTAATTGATCATCTCGACATCGAGATGTACGAATATGAAAAAAAAAAGGAAAATGAATCTCAAAAATAGTGCATCTTACAACACATCTAGACCGTCCATTTTCAAGATTTTCATATATTTATAGATGTACTTGATATTAGCCATTTTTGAAGTTTATAATTTTCTAATTAGATATAAAAATAGTTTTTAAGATAATCCTAAAAAAAATTTACAACAAAATTACATGTTATAATAAAATTTGGAGGTGCGCTTTAATTGGATTGTTTAAAGTTACAACCTTATAGAACCTACACCCTTAATTAATTAATGAAGTTATAAAAAAATATGGATGAGGTTTCTATAAGGCTTAGGCTTTATGAAAACGGAATAAAGCCTCACCCTTAAATCCTCGTCCAAAAATTATGATTCTAAAATCAATTTTCACGCTTGACCAGCGTTTTAAAAAACGCCGAGTCGAACCGGACTCGCCCGGTTCGACTCGAAAATAGTGAAAAGGGACCGGATCGCCCATAAAATCAGAAATCGTCCAGTTCTAGAGAGAACCGGACGATTCTGTACAGTGAATCGCCGATTCACTGTACGGAATCGGCGAGTCCGAACAGTGAATCGGCGAGTCCGTACGGTTAAATTTTTTTTTTTTTTTTTTTTTTTTTTTTTTTATTTTTTTTTTTTGTTAATCCTATGTATTAGTTTTTTTAGTTAATACTTGATTCGTATTTTTTGTAATCCATGA